TCGCCGACTGGCCTTGCCATTCCACGACGACGGCCAGTTCCTCCGGCGAGCACCTTGTCCACGAACCAGAGACGTCCACGACAATGGATTCCTTGACGATGAATAATTCATTTCATTTGGTAAGAAATTTAACGAGCTTCAATCCGAAGAATTAAAATTGAATCTCTCTTACTTTGGAAACTGTATTATGAGGTAAAGGTAATTGAACGAGGCTGTAACATTCTAACAAAAAAGATCGCAGCAGGTTTTTGCTTTTACCCTTTTTTAGTTTTATTTGAATATTTCCTTACTGATGGTTTCCATTGAAGAATTCTGAGATTCTTGTACAGGGTAGGTCCCTGAATTTCAAGGTCGAAATTTTCTTTCTTTCTTTTGCAATGTACTCGTATTCTACTCATCGTGCAGGTAAAACTTTTCCATAGGTCGCAATAGTTCTTTTGAAAAATGGCAAAAAATTTTCTTAATCATTTAACGCGTGCGTCCTAACAGCGACTTTATGGTTCTGGATTAGTTTCACTAATATTTAATTTATTATAACTGTAGCGTTAGCGTGAGTCTGTAATCAAATAATAATAATCAGTATATAATCAAACAACAATCAAATAATAAAACTAACACTATCGAAATATAAAATTACATCCACGTGTCCAAAATCATAAAGTCGCTGTTAAGACGCACGCGTCTGCAGTGTTGAATGATCAAGAAACCTTTCTGCCATTTTTCGAAAGAACTATATGATCGCAACGTAATAGTTCTCTCGAAAAAACGTTTCTTGATCGTTTAACACTGCGTTCTAACAGCGACATTACGGTTCTAGACGCGTGGATATATCTATATAATGTTTATACTTTTATCATTTGACTATTTAGACGCACATTGATGCTGCAACTATGATAAATCAAATGTTAGTGAAAGCTAATACGAAAATTACGTAAAATAAACATCCACGCATCGAGAATCATAAAGTCGTTGTTAGGACGCAGTGTTAAATGATAAAGAAACTTTTTCCCCATTCTTCGAAAGGACTGTATGGTTTCTCGGAAAAGTTTGATCTTCGTGATGAAAAGAATACAATGCAGGAAAAAAATTTTGAGAATTTTGAAATTCAAGGTCAAGGTCAATTTTGCGGTTTTCGGCTTCTTTACATGTATTTTCATCAAATCGAAGTGGAATTCATCTATGATAGTCAAACTTTTTTCTTTCACCCTGTACGGTCTGTTCTAATTACTAAAAAAAAGACTAAATCAAAGATCGAAAGAGACAGAAATCGAAAAGCACTCTCGACCTCGCGATTGTTCCTCACCTCTCGAGCATACTCCTGTTCGCATACGCGCTGATGGAATTCAAGTTTCGCATGAAGGCCACCGCCTCGCTCAGATACTCCTCGAGAACGTTCTTGCCCGCACCATCGAACAGAATCTCCTCCTCCCATTCGTCCTCCTCTTCCTCCTCCTCCTCCTCCTTCTCCTCATCCTCCACGTTCTCGTAACTATCCGACTCGCTGCACGTATTCTCCGACGATTCTTCCACGGAGAACTTGACTTTCCTGCGGCTCTGTTTCGAATTTCCCGCGGTATCCTCGTTGCCATCTTCCCAACTCGCCGACCGTATCTCACCCTTCCAATCCGCGTTCTCCGCGGTTAAGTCGGTCCTGCCCGCTTGCCGAGAGCCGTCAGTCTCGTCCTCGTTCAGCTCGAAAGAACGAAACGAACTCGCAGTTTCGGGCACGTTCTTCTTCCTCCTGTTGTTCTTGATGATGGGCTTCAAGGTTGCCGGCGATTCAGGACTCGACTTCTTCTCGAGGGTGCCGCAGCTCGGGCAAATATTCGACTGGTCGCTGGCCTCCTCGTAGTTGTAACAAACTTTGCCCCAGATCGAAGACTCGTAATCGCGCGCGTCCGGCTTCCTCATTGGCAATTCCGCGATTCGATCGTCCTCGGGATCGTTAACGGGCTCGTTCTTCTCCGAGTCGGCGGCTTTCGGACAGTCTTTCTTGGTGTGCGCCACCACGTCTGGCGGGCAGAGGTTCTTCTCCCGTTGCTCCGTCGTCGTCTGTTTCGCTTTCAGCGTCGTCGTCGGCTCGCCGTTGATCTCGTTATAGTCCAAACTGTCGTCCGAGAAACCGTGCTCGTGGTCCGCGGCGTTGTTGTTCAACGAGCAACCGGAATGAGGACACTTGGTCCTCGAGGACTCGTCGATGCTGTCCAACTGAAAATCAGTCGCCGGCGACTCTGCTGCGACGCAGCTGCTACGTTCGAACGGTGTTGCCTCGACTTCCGGTCGCCAGGTGGCCGGTATGACAACACCGAGACCTTTCGAGAAATTGTCAGCGATCGTGGAGAACGCCACGGGTACTTGCCAGTTCCTCCACGGATCTTGGTAAACGGCCGAGCTCGGCGCCCTTCTCGAATTGAAACTGCGCCTCCGGTTGATGAACGCCTCCGTGATTAATCCATTCCTGATAAATCCTGCTGAATCCTCCTCGCCGGCGAGCTCGTACTTCTTCGGCTGGGACACGTACGACGTCCCCAGGGAATTCCGGAAAGTAATGGAATTCCTTATCCTCGTCCCTTCCTCCGTTCGATTCGCATCCGTTCTCGAATTCTTGGCCGCGTTGTTAGGGTCGTGAAAGATGTTCTCGATCCGGAACACCCTGCTATCGGTCTGGCTGGGCGCCGACGCGGTCTGATCCCTCGAACAGTAGATCTCGTTACGGGGATCGTTCCATTCGTCGGTTTGGGCTCCCTCCTCCTTCGTTTCGCTTCTTCGTTTTGCGCGCTCTTTCGTCTGCGTAAGCTCGTTGTCCAGCCGCGTGCTCGCAGCGATCCTCGAGTCTACGACAGTGCTGCTCGTGGTCTCGATGGTGATGCTGATGGTGTCCGGTAGTGAGATGGAGATGACGCTTCTCTCGCGGTTGTTGTTCGCCGAGGAGTGACTTTGTCGAGGATGTTCGACTTGAGGGGCGCAGCACTGTCTTGAGCAGCTCGCTGACAGTTGTTGCCCGCGCGAGGTCTGCACCGCGAAATTTCGACAGGACGAGAACGCGCTCGTGTTGGTGGAACTTTCCGCGTACGCGGCTCTTCCGTCGGACAGCTCGGTGCCGCTCAAGTTTACACTCTCGGCGTAATTCTGCGCGTCGTCCGAAAGAATGCCGGAGTCGTTGCGCGGAGAGCCGTGGATCTCGTAGTCGTACTGCTCGAGATCGTTCGCCGAACTCGCCACGTCTCTGCACTTGACGATTCTCGTCCTGGGTTTCTCCGTCCAAGTGGCCGTCTCCTTCACCCTCAGGATCGGTGTGTTCCGCACAGTCGAAGCGTACTCGCATGCTTCGTGATGATCCGTCAGCACACCGACGTCCTGACGCGTTATCTGCCGTGTCTCGGTGAGGGACGCGGTGTCCCTCATGCGAACGGTCCTCGAGCACTCCGTCTGCGTGTCCACGCACACGCGTTTGCGCTTGCCGAGCATCTTCCTCGAGATCTCCTGCAGCTTCAGCTTCGCCGCGGACTTTGCCGCGTCGCAACCGGTGTCCGGAGGTGATCGTACACCCGGGACATCGTCCAGGTGCTTCCTGCTCGAGTACAGCCTCTCCGTGACCGCCGCCACGATCTCGGCGCGTTTCGTCCTCTGAATAGGCGTGTGGCTCCTCGTCGAAGGTTCCTGCTCGAGGGAGCTCTTCCTACGGAGCAACTTGTCCCGAGCCAGGCTCGAAATCAAAATCTGCTCGTCCTTCGAGCTGCTCGAACTGCTGTCCTTGCTGGTCTTTCGCTTCAGACTGTCCAAGCTGGGCTTCCTCGCTTCGTAACTCCTCGCCTTCGAGCCAGACTCGCACTGGCTGCTGCAATCCTTCAGACTCTTGTCCGAGCCGTTGCTGTCTTTCCGCTCCTTCGGCCAGCCACTTCTGCTCGAGATGGCCGACTTCTGCTGGTCGTCGATCTCACGGATGTTCTTCAACTTCTTCGCCCGGTCGGCGGTCGAGTTCGAACGGTTCTCTATGTTCGTGTGAGACCTCTCCAGCGAGAACACGGGGTCCCTCTTCTTCTGGATCGCCTCCACCGAGCCGAACTTCTTCAACGCGTGCAAGTTGGAGAGGACCGAGCTCGGCAACACGTCCACCGTGTCCTGCTTGCGAAACTTGGGCCTCTGCCTCGGCGGCTTGTTCTCGGAGTTCTGACAAACCTCCAACGACGACGCGAACTCGTTCTCTCCGAACGCGTGACACGAGTTGACGGAGCTGCTCCTGTCGTCGTGGTCGACGCTGTCCAGCTTCTCCGACTCGTCGAACGTTGCCTCCTCCTCGTGGTCGTTGACCGCCTCGAAATCGGCGTCTACGATCGACTCCTCCACCACCTCGTCCGAACAGATCTCCTCGATCTGCACGGACGATCCTTGCAGATTGTTGTCCGGCTTGATCAGAACCGCGACCAACGTCGGGATGTCGACGAACACCGACTCGTGGATCTCGCTCACCTCCTCGTCCTCCTCGTCGTTCAGCTCGGTCACCCTCGCCCGGTTGAAGCGCTCGCTCGTCGCCAGAAACTCCAACGAGCCGGATCTCTTCCCTCGTCGATCGGACTTCCTGTCCTGCGCGGCGACGCAGCTATCGCTCGAATTGGATCTTCGAACTGAAACGACGCTCTCCGATCCTTTCGATTCAACCACCGTCTCGTCCTCTGGCGATTTCTCTTCCGAATTCTCCCCGTTGGATCCACGTTCGGCCGATTCCTCCTCTGACGAGCGATCTGTGCTCGATTCAATCTTCTGGCAACAACAGAGCGCCTTCGCCGCTGGTTCTACGTTCTGCGAAATATATTTTATTCGAAATAACTTTTAAATTACCTAATGAAAAATTGTTCAATAGAAAAGTTGTGTAATTTTGTAAGAGAGGGAAAACGTGGCGTATAAATAATTTTCTGTGAGTTTCGAAATTTTCAAAGTCTTCTCTTTTTTTCTTTTTTTTTTTTTAGCAGAATAACAGCTGTACAGATATCTTTGTAAAGATATTATTATGAAATATTTTCTCCCTTAGAATTTAATTATTCTTCCGATTTATAGTGGAAGAAATATGTGGTCTTGGAAATTTCGATGACCCACGAAGAAATTTAATACGCCATATTTCCCCTCCCTTAAAACCATACAACCTTTGTATCAGACAATTTTTCATTAAACGGGCAATTGAAAAGGTGTGCAAGTTACGCGAATCACCCAGTGCATATTGCATGTGCAGGAAATCTTCCAAAGCGTCTGCCATGCGTCTCGTTCTCAAGCATTCTACGTTCCCGAATTCTTTGAGATCGGCAAATGGCCAGACTTTGAAAACTGTTGTAGCGCGCGTAACGGAAGGGATTGATTAAAATAATCACGCACGCTGGAAACAAATCGAGGATGGGGGAGCGAATGGACGACCGGCGTGGAATAATACCGATCATAACGACCGAGGGTAATTCGATGAGGTTAATTAATGGCCGATTACGCAACGCGCAGCATGATCGAAGGATATTGTAAAATCTAGTGATAGCGCGAGATGGGGGTGGAAATGCTCTGTCACTCGCAAACTGTATTTTATCGTGCAATCGGCCAGAGGAAGGATCGCGCGACCGGTTAATGAGCATCGAATAAACGATTTCGTGCATTTCATTTGCCTGCACGACGAGTACGAGTTTACGAGTTTCGTTTCTCTCTCTCTCTCTCTCTCTCAGTCAGCCACCTCGGACAATAAACCTGCTCGATTTATCCGCGTATTGCTTCGCGAACCAAGCAAAATGGCGAATCGATTTCAGTTGTAAATAAATATTTCCCGATCCAACGGGCTTCGTCTTCGCCAACCGTGAGATTTATTCTTCTATTTCCCTCACCCCCCCCCCCTCTCCTGACCGATTTCTCTTAATATTCATGGCGCGAAAAATGTTGTTATTGCCAATATTTGTTTGTCAATACGCGCCGGTATAATGCGAAAGGGACGGTACCGATCCACTGAGAAATGAAAGATTGGATTCCGAGGGTAATTTGCGGTAAAATTCTTTCATACAATTTACCGATTCTAGCAAATAAACGAGAGTTTAATTAAAACCTAGTTATGTTAAAGAATTCTGAAAGAGGATAATTATTTAATCTTTGAAGAATAATATAAATTAGAAATAACAATCTGTTTATTGAAATTATTGATCCTAAAAAAAAATTTCAACAAATGATAAGAGGCTGGGTAATCAGAATATCGTCGTTTCTATTAGTATTAATAAAAATCTACGTTTCGACGAGAGTTTAATTATCCCAAAGAATCCAAGGAGGATAATTATTTCAATCATTCTAACGATGACTAATAGAATTTAAATAAATTAAATCGTTTCGATATTAACCTTTCAGAAATAACATAAATTAGAAATAATCAATCTATTTATTGAAATATTATTGATAAAAAATGATTTTAAAAAAAATTTAAAAAAAAATGATTTTAAAAAAAATTTCAACAATAAAAATCTGGATTATCAGAATATCGTCGTGATATTAATGTTAAAGAAAAAATCTCGTTTCGACGAGAGTTTAATTAAAGCCTAATTATCCCAAAGAATTCAAGGAGGATAATTATTTCAATCATTCTAATGATGACTAATAGAATTTAAATAAATTAAATCGTTTCGATATTAACCTTTCAGAAATAACATAAATTAGAAATAATCAATCTATTTATTGAAATATTATTGATCCTAAAAAATGATCTTAAAAAAAATTCCAACAAATAATAAGAATCTGAATAATCAGAATATCGTCGTGGTATTAATGTTGAAGAAAAAATCTCGTTTCGACGAGAGTTTAATTAAAGCCTAATTATCCCAAA